AAAGAAAAAAATAAAGTCATAAAATAAAAATTTAAAAAACATTTACTGTTGGTATAGCTCTTACAATAATATTAAATAATATTAATTTTTTTAATATTTTCTGGATGTAGTATAATGACAGCTGGAACTTTATCTAAAAAGTAGTGCTGCCAAACAATTCATCGCGATTAATCGCATCCAAAATAAAAGTTTTTGTTTACATATATGTGTGTGTACTGTGTATATTTATTATGTATATATAAATACACACCCATGCATGTATATATTTAAGAAAAATGTTATATTTATATCTTAAATATATTTATATATAATATAAATTATATGAATATACATATATACATGTAAATATTTTCAAAATATATACTGTATGTGTATGCATTTATATATACATAATAATTATACACAGTACACACACATATATTATGTAATTAAAAACTTTTATTTTGGATGCGATTAATCGCAATTAATCGTTTGACAGCACTACTGAAAAGTAACAATTATTTTATCAATCTAAGAATTCTGATGAATTATATAAGTATTTATATCTGTGCTTAGATGAAGACGTTGTTTTCAGTTTTTCTCTCTTTTTCTCTATTTTTAATTGCCAAGCTATAAAGAATTCTCTATTTAATTAATTATATTAACAGAAAAGCACCAAAGTTAATTTCATACTGCTATTGGAACTGTTCACTAGATGTCTTCTTTTGTTATAGTTGCTCTTCCCTGCAAACATAAGGAATAAGGCGCATATGTGAGTGAAGGAGCAGTAAATTGAGACATGAGAGACATCTGCTGGTGGTTATGGGAAGCTGCATTATGATTCAGATTTCCTTCAGTCCCATGACTTTTCATTTTCATGTCATTTAATTATTTATTATTACATTTTCAGGGTCACATGCGAAACTCATTCTAAGAATCAAATTAGCTGAGTGAATTCTTTTTGAGGGACATATTTCAAAATAAAAATAAGACCAAAAAAAAGAAAATGAATCATATTTTCCTATCAATTAGACTTGAAAAATTCTGAATTATTACAATATAAAAAATACTTAAATATTAAGTTATATTTTAAAAAAAACAGTTTTTTTTAAATAAAAAGAAGCCATACAGAGGATGATTCTCATTACTGTTTAACAACATAGCCTAGTGTTCTTCCTCACTATTTTTGGTGTACGCGTGTTTAATTTACAATCAAAGCTGAATTCTTCAGACAAACACAGGTTCCAGTTTCTGAATAGATGCCTTGTGAGATAAAGAGCAGCTCACTGATGAAACATTCTCTGAAGCGTTCAGCTGTGAAACCTCGAGCTGCGCACTCACCGTGACGTCACTCACGCAAGCAACAGCCCTCCATCTGTGTTGTAGGAGTGTGATATGAGGATAAATAAAGGACGACAAGTTCAAATAAACAGAGACAGGAACATGCCGCGTATAAAGACATCCCACCTCTATAAACATGTCTAATTGTGGTTCAAATAAAGCCCACACATCAATAAACACAGGGCAGAAGGGCCCGAGGCTGAGGCAGGGAAATGAAGCAAACTGTTTGCTTTAGGTTGCCTTATTTTCAGAAATGTCTTTTATTTCACATCATGTGTAATCAAGTAAATATAAGTTGATTTGAGTCAAATTTTCGTGAGGTGGAGGAGAAGAAAACATTTGTTCTCGGGTGGCGTGGCCTAGTGATTAAAGGACATGGGCTGTTAACCAAAAGGTTGTAGGATCAAACCCCATGAGAGTGATCAATTATCTATTGTGCACTTGAGCAAAGCTGTTAACGCCAGGTCACTGCAGGCGAATGACCCTCAGTATGCACTGTGATTTCCTTTGAATAAATTGTTAAATTAGTTCCGTGATCATTTTTGGTACATTCGGGGAATCACATATTAAAGAATAGTTCACACACACAGACAGACAGATAAAAGTGGTCCATACGAATAGTATGATATATTCCAAGTCTTTTGAAGTCACGCATTAAAGGGATCCCAAAAAAGTTCACCCAAAAAAGAAAATTCTGTCAATTACTCACCCTCATGTCGTTCCAAACCTGTAAGACCTTCGTTCATCTTCAGAAAACAAATTAAGATATTGTTATGAAATCCGAGAGCTTTCTGAACCTGCATAGACAGCAGTGCAACTGAAATGTTCCCAGGCCCAGAAACGTAGTAAGGAAATCATTAAAATAGTCCATGTGACATCAGTGGTTCGACTGTAATTTTATGAAGCTACGAGAATACTTTTTGTGCGCAAAGAAAACAAAAATAATGACTTAATTCAACAATTCTTCTCTTCTGTGTCACGTAGTCCACTATTCATGAGAGTACCACGACACATGCGTGTGATACTGCTGATGTAGAACCTGCATGCGCTGTGCCTTATTTACAAGCAGAGGAATGCACACATTTAAAGGGGTCATATGATGCGATTTCAATTTTTCCTTTCTCTTTGGAGTGTTACAAGCTCTTGGTGCATAAAGAAGATCTGTAAAGTTGCAAAGACTAAAGTCTCAAATCCAAAGAGTTATTCTTTATAAAAGTTAAGAGTCAACCACGCCTACCTAAAACGGCTCGTTCTAACACACCCCACATGTCTACGTCACGATGTGCGAAGATTTGCATAACACCGCCGAAATGTTCACGCAAAGAAAGAAGGCATAACTTTTATTCTCACTGTAGTATTGTTGCCGCAGCTTTGTAAAAATCGACGCGTTTCAGAAAGGCGGGGCATCGAGGAGAAACAATAATGTACAGTATGTGGAAAATAATGTGTTTTTTAACCTTAAACCGCATAAACACATTTCATTACACCAAATACACAAAATAATGTTCTTTTTAGCAGCATCATATGACCCCTTTAATCTTAATTTGTATTCCAAAGATGAAGGAAGGTCTTATAGGTTTGAAATGACAAGAGGGTGAGTAATTAAGGACAGAATTTTCATTTTTGGGTGAACTATCACTTTAAAGCTATTTTTACGATACTAGTGCCATCTAGTCAAGTGGAACGACAAAATAAAGCATGTTTTTAAACAACCTTTGTACATGCCTCTTTCGCGCGTCAGCCGTCAACCCCCAACTAAAATATCACAGACAGCTCTCACAGGTTTATAAAAGTCAAAGGCAAGTAGGCTCAACGGGTAAAATTTCAATAAAATGTCCAACATATTTGGAAAATGTCTAACTTTAGGTTCAGCTTACCTGTCAAGAAGAAACTCTGACGGCTTAGAAACCTGAAGGTGCTTTTCGCATATAACAACCGTCTGAGCGACGTTCCCGAATAACTCGTTGTATTGATTGAAACCCAAAAATTAAATCTAATTCCTCCATCTTGTAAAAACACTGTAAGTTTACCCTTGTTTTACCCAGTTGTCTGTCTCTTGTGTATTTTAGCAAGTCTTTGAATTTTGCTTGCGCTTTCACACCGGCTAAACACCCTCTGGTTCAGCCTGCTACAACAATACTACAGTGGCCACGCCCCCAAATTCTCGCTGCCCGGAGGTATGCAAATATATAGGATGACAGGCAGGTAGGACATCCTACCATTGCATTCGGACAGAATGTAACGATTAAATGAACATTTTATGGCCCTGAGCCTTTCACATTGATAATTATTTATTGCTATCAGGATATGAAGAGACTTTGTTTTAAACCAGTATCAATCAATAAATAAAGATTTTGGGGGGGAAAATTGAAAAGATTCAATTTCAAAACCTTGATCACAAATCGGAAATCACTGCTTGCTCATAACTGTTCATAAGTAGCGATTTTAGTCTTTTTCATTCAAAATAAACGTTATAAATTTAGCTCTGTATCTCTGTATCATTAGACCCAGAATATACTTTATAACCACTTTGTTTTTTATTGTTTTTAGCTTTGCAGACTTTTTCTTTAAAAAAAAAAAATGTAAATAAATACAATTTAGCGTTCCGAATAATGTCATACAGTTCGAAATGGAATTAAGATTTCATTCATTTTGGAGTGAACTATCCCTTAGACATGTCCAAGTTCAGAAAATGTTACCGCTGTAAGTGGTTAAAATAATTTTAAAAAAAACACTTAATGAATTTCTTGAATGCTGTGTGAGGTATTGACTATGCAAATTTATTTCCACCGCCACACAAAGCAAGAGGAGTCAGATTAAAGTTTTCCACATTTATTTCAGCATAAGTGGTTCATAAAACATCTCAGACTGTACCACTTACAAGTTTCTTATCGTTAAAACCCTCAGTAGGCAGGCAAGATCAAAGATTTAAATATGGCGGTGTCCAACATCACTGCTATGTAAAACATTTTTTTACATCTAATTGACCAAAAATAAATGGGTTTCAAAATGGGCATGACATCGCCACAAATGGTTGCGAGTAAAGAATACAAACAAGACAAAATAAAATATAAACGGTGGCTCAGGATTCACACAAGTGCTGCACTGGAACTTTATACAGTGGTAATTCACAATATGTCGATACACACATTTCCTATCGCACTATTTCAGTCTTTTTACAATTATTTACTCTTCTTCTTACTCAAGTCAATCTTCTGTGAACGCGTGCATGTGTGATGACATTGACATACTGCTACATACTTTACTCGGTGTGTTGTAATAAGGCAATGTGGTACTGAAAAGAACAATTTCATTAAAAACAGCCACATTTATCAACTGAACAGTTCTAATTCCAATTAATATGTAAACTGGCCATAAACCTCATTTTAAAATCCTTGAACATTAAAGAAGAAGGGGGTAGACCATATCCATTTTCCTTTTTTTCTGGTCACCTCAATACAAGATACAAAAAAAAAGAAGGGGGAAAAAATACATTCATAAAGAAATCTTTTAAGCAACACCCGCAATCCAGTTAAAATGAAACATGGATTTAACACATGTACCTCTTCACAACGGTTCGGGAAGACAAGACGTCTGCTCTACCCTCTGCTTTTCTTAAGCTTGGCACAATAATGAAGCCTTCTGGTCCGTTCAGACGAGAGCTGCACAGGCTTCACTGCAATATGGAACTACTGTACAGCACAATAGTCTCTGAATTAAACACACTGCGCTGCCTGTGGCAGTGTGACTGATATATCGCTGGTACATCTACACTAACCCAGTTCCCTGAGAACACTAAAGGACTAAAACCATGACAGCACACAGGATATGCAATATTATAATATTTGCTAGATAAAATGTGTAGGATAAATCAAAGAAGACAGTGAACATATGGACTAAGCATGGGACTTAATGTGGACAACACTCAAATAACTGTCTTAATTTTGGTCATTCTTTTCTGAAAACAGCTGATAAAACAACCAAAACAGGTAACAGTTTTCACATTTTCAAAAAGTAGAGGGAATTAAATCTATTGCTGAGCAAAGAAATTAACAAATGGATACAAAGTGTAAACAAGGTACCATGGACAAATGCAGGCCTACTGACATAAAGTGACACAAATTGAGCATATACAACAAAAATCTGATTCTGTGCAATTTACTGTCAACAGCCTATGTACCGCTTTCCCTTTTCATCAGCATTCATTGGTCCATTTTTCTCATCTGTACACATATGAGGTTTGCTTTTTAGATTTTTTTGTTGTATATGTTTGTGTTTTTACACTGATGTACCCATATCTAGATGCTTGTTTTGGCTTTAAGCAAATGCAATGCTCATGTGAGAATTTGTTGTACAATAAGGGTCGTTTCCCTGTTCAGTGAGCCTACTGATCAGCTGACAAACTCCTTCACAGTTTGCTTCAGTTAATGCCTACAAAGTCCAATACCCACATATATTATATATAAAAAATAAGTTATTGCGCATCCGAAAAAAGTGCATCTTATTTTCAAAAATATCTCTTTTGCTCCATGCTTTCTTTTCTTCCTCAGGGTCCAGAAACCCAAATCCAGCGTTTTTCTAAGTGAACGGAGGGGTAAAGAGGAAGGGGCTCGATAGCTTGAAGGCGTGCCGGATGGGCACGTAAGAAAACATGACGAGGAAGTGGAGTGGGAAGTGAAGGAGGAGGATAGAAGAGTTGTCCAGCTATGCAATCACCATGGGAACGTCATCTGAAAAGCCACTGATCATAGGAGCATCTTCATCATCGTCACCTTAAGAAGAGAGGGAACAAAGAAACATCTTAGTAGCCCATTTTCACAGTGTGGATAACTGAACTGAATTTAAGGGAACAGAACTGAATTCAGGTAAACAAAGATCTGAAGTGAACTAAACTGAAATAAAATGAAGTGAAAATAATTTAACTGAACTGATTCAAAATGGTGAAGTTGAATTAATTGAAGTGATTAAATAAACTGAACACAACACAACTGAAGTAAACTGAACTGAACTAAAGTGAGCTGAGGACAATTTTGCCAAACTGAAGTGAACAAATCTAAACCGAAGTTAACTGAACAAAATGTAAGCATACTGAGCTAAATTGAATTGAACTGAAGTCAATTGAGCTAAACAGAAATGAAATGAAGTGAACTAAACTAAAACGAACTCAACTGAGCTAAACAAGTGACCTGAACTAAAATGAAGTCGAGTAAACTAAACTGAATTCAACTTAAGTGAACTAAAATAAACTAAATGTGATGTTAACTGTCAACTTATTCAACTAAGCAAAATAACTAACTAAAGATGAGCTGAACTAAAAAAAAATTGTACTAAAGACAACTGAGATTATTTTAACTGAATTTAAGTAAACTAAACTGAAGAGAAACTGGGCTAAACTGAAGTGAACTGAAATAAAATAAAACTAAATGGAAGTGAACTTGACTGAAGTCATCTGAGCTGAAGTGAAATGGAGTGAAATGAACTCAAACAAAGTGAAGTAAACTGAACTAAACTAAATAGAAGTGAATTGAACTAAAACACACAAGCCATCTGAGCTAACCACAAGTAAACTGAACTAAAATGAAGTGAACTGAGATGAACTGAAGTCAACTGATCTCAAGCCAACTGAGCTAAACTGAAGTGAACTAAACGACACTTCTCTGACGTGTACTGAAGACAGATTTCATGAAAGGCAGGAGACTGGTCTTACCCAGCTCATCTCCTGAGTCCCGCTCCATTTTACGAACTGTATCTCGCACGTGCACTGCATACATCTGATAAATACACACAGAGATGCTTGAAACACCCCATCTGACATATAACAATGTTTTATATTAAAAAAAATGACAGTCTAGGACTTGACAATGTGGTCATACCAAAGGACTGCTGGGAGAATCATATGGCGGCTGCCACTTCAGAGTGGCCTGTGCCGCCATGTCCTCTGATTTACCTGACTGAGATGAGGCATCGTTTGGCCCTGAAAGACGACATAAGCATCAAGATCAACAAATGCCTACAAAGATAAAGTAGAAAATGTTTATTGCATAAAAGCTCATGCCTGCTGCTTTGCCCAGTTCATCATATAACAGCACCGCTGCCTCTCCACACAGCTGGTTGTTGAGCAGACAGCGCGCCCGCACTGAGAAGGTGTAGTTATGGCCCACCAACAGGTTGCTGATCCTGAAGAACGTCTCCGTTGTGTTACCCAGACACTTTGTGGAGTTGCTGATGCTGTCATGCATATACACCTCATAGCCCTGAAGGATCAGATGATTATTAGTGAAACCATTTCATAAGTGAACCAAAATGGAAAGTTTCAAAGGAAGAATCTCGTTAAAAGATTAAACTTTTTTTTTCGTCATCCACAATAAGAGCAGAAATGTTCATTAATTGAGTAAATAGGGTCATTGTGGATTTCATGTAGACTTTAAAGGTGTGTCTGGTTTCTAACCCTGCTCTCATTGAAGGTCCGGTCCTTCACAGCCAGGCTCTTCCAGAAGAGGAACACATGATCCTGTTCTTCTAAGATCTTGAGGGCCTCAGGCGCAGGCAGAGGAACTGTGTGGAAAAAATACAATACAGCAGGGAATTTTACTTATAGTTGTTAATATGCTACATCTCAAAAGTTTGTGGTGAGTACATTTTTTTTCTTTTGAAAGAAAGTAATACTTTTTATTGAGCAGGGACACATAAAATTGATCAAAAGTCACAGTAAAGACATTTATAATGTCAAAGATTTCTATCTCAGAAAACCCTGTTCTTTTTAACTTTCTATACATCCAAGAATCTTGAAAAAATCATGGTTTCTACAAATATATTAAGCAGCACAACTGTTTTCAACACTGTTAATAAAAATAAATTCTTCTTGAGCACCAAATCTCATTTTAGAATGATTTCTGAAGGATCATGTGATCTTAAAGACTGGAGTAATGGCTGCTGAAAATTCAGCTTTTCCGGCCTGTGTCTTATCCACTCGCACCTTGTGCAGGTTTCGAGGTGGAAGTCGCTCGTTGGGGATCATCTTCACTACGGCGTAGTCTGATGGAGGACCGAGGAATGGAACGATCACCCTCACCTGAACAACAAACACACAATCACTTCATCATGGTGCCCAACTGGATCTCTAAAATGAGGAGTAGGAGGGTGGACACTAACCAGGAAGAGGAACTGCTTGTCGCTGTCAACGATCACCGCCAGACTGGTTGAGGTGGTATTCACCCTGTGAGGTCTGCGGTACAGATCCAGGAAGGATGTGGCGTAGAACACTCCATACATCTACGAAAACATGGAAACATTACAATGATGTCTTGACAGACACTTTTCAACTTAAAGGTCAGGACACAGTGAAATTTCAGCCAAATTTTGTGGGTCCATTATCTATTTTTAATTGTTTAATGATATTTGAAGCACAACTCACAACAACACCTTCAAATCAAATTGAAAAATGCTGCAAAATTAGCATGATTAAATCTAATGTGAAATCAGCATGGAGAAATATTTAGCCCTTTCCAAAAACATGGACTCCTATTGAAATTACTGAATTTCACCTGCAAAATTTTGTCGAACAACAGTAAATGTGACCGCACCTTTAGCTTATCAAAATAAATGCTGTACTTGATCGCATCTTATAGTATTAATTTTCTTTCATTTTCATACTTGTAAATACACACGTTTGTATGAATTCAATCAAATCTTTGTAAAAGGCTAGTTTATTTCTAAAATTGCTCAAGTTAATGGCTTCTCTTTTCTTGTGACCAACGTATACACAAGCGAAATTTCCCTCGCGTGAATTGCTACTGAAAATAATGGATATCGCCCGTGAAATTTTGCAGAGCAATGATAAATATGACTGCACTTTAGGTGTTCATGAGTAAAGGCCTGTTCAGACCAAGAACTATAACTATTTAACTATATTTGCGACCACACCAACACACAATAACGTTCAGTATTATAAGCACAGTCTGTAAGCATGCCTGCACACTTTAAAGTCAGGTGGATTCTGATTGGCTATCAATGTTTTTTATCATTCTTCAGCTGGAAAAAAATAATTAGAACAGTGATTCCCACGATATTGTTCTGCTGTCTGTGTTGTTATAGTTGTGATGTGAACTCTGCTATTCTTTTACATTGAAAACTCTATCTTTATTATTATAGTCCTTTGTCTGAATGGGCCTTTAAGGCTAGAATACACTACACGGTTTTCCACCCGATTTCCCATCAAATTACAGTCTGGAGATGTTGAAGCTAGTTGATTTGAGTTGACAGATTTCATAGAAAATCACATTGTGTATTCCTACTGTAAATATATTATAACTTAATTTTTGATTAGTAATATGCATTGCTAAGAACTTCATTTGGACAACTTTAAAGGCGATTTTCTCAGTATTTTGATTTTGATTTGAATCTGACCCTCAGATTCCAGATTTTCAAATAGTTGTAACTTGGCCAAATATTGTCCTGTCATAACAAACCATACATCACTGGAAAGCTTATTTATTCAGCTTTCAGATGTATAAATCTCAATTTCAAAAAATTTACCCTTATGACTGGTTTTGTGGTCCAGGTCCACATATCGTTTTCCTTTGTCGCGTGTCTCCTAGCAACAAGGCGCACGTTTCTGTGTGAATTTGTTGTAATCGGAGCAACTTTAAAGTCTGGTAGTGTGTGATCCTCAGTCGTTTAGTGTATAGGGCCTTTCGCACCGCGGGAACCTTTTCATAGTACCAGAACTAATTGTGGAACTACCCACTTTTTGGCGTTTTCGCACCGCCGGAACTGGGTGAGAGTTTAGTACCGGACTGCCTTTTTCGAGAACCAAATTAGCTCCTACTCCGGAGCAGGGTCTAACCAGCACAACTGGTACTAATCGCGACGCAAGTAGACATTGATTGGCCAAACGCATATGAAAACCCCTTTAAATGGTACTGGGAAATAGTTCGCGCAAAATCGTCCCAGTACTTTAGTACTGTACATTTAGTTCTGGAACTAAAGCGGTGCGAAAGGCCCTAATGATGCCTCCTCCTATGTTTACCTCTGTGACTACTGCAAAGTCTGTAAGTGTATGATTCCCAGTACTTTAAGATCTGTTCAGGTTTTTAAAGTTGTGTAGTGTATTCCAGCCTTTAGTCTCACCTCAGCTTGAGGGCCGGTCCAGTTGCACTCTACAGCGGTCTGGTTGAGCGCCCGGGCCTTCAGTGATGGCTGGGCAGGTCTGGTACCTTTGGTCTGCTTGCGGAACAGAGAAGTAGGACTGTCTCCATCATCCGTGTGAGCCCACACCGCCACCTCATACACTGTTCCTGCTGTCAGGTTAGAGGCTGCACAGAAGACAGCACACATATTTTATATAGCTCCAGAAATGCTGACATGATGTTTGATGACTGTGAAGTGTTTTACAGTACCTTTCAATGTCCCTGAAACCGTGTAATTCCAGCTCTCCTTCACATGTTCATCAAATACCCATGAAATGACAACAATATAGTGCTTCACCTAAAAGAGAGAGATCAATTTTATATTTAAATTAGGAGGAGGTCATAAACATTACCCACACACAGAGAAAAAGCAAAATGACTGACCTGGACTTTATAATCATTGGTGATGGACAAAATCATGGAGTCCTCTGTGATGCTGGAGATCTCAACATCAGGAGGAGAGAGAGCTGAAAGACACATTATTATGTATATATTATATAATGTAATGTATTCAGAAGTATGTGAAATAAATGCTGTTCTTTTGAAATTTATCAAAGAATCCTGAAAAAAAAATATCACGGTTACTACAAAAATATTAAGCAGCACAACTGCTTTCAACATTGATAATGAGAAATGTTTCCTGAGTAGCATATAAGAATGATTTATGAAGGATTGTGTGACACTGGAGTGCATGAGAAAGAGATGTCTGTAAAAAACATAAAAAACTCAACCTCAAACTACTAAGTGGCAGTATGTATGCATGTTTCATATGATCAAAGAATGTTAAAATCCTTTATTTTTCATTGAATGTTAGTATCCATTATTTTGAATGTCTCAATTATTTAGGAGACTGCATGGCCTTATACTATGAGAAGGCCCTGTCTCATAATTATTCATGATACCACATTACTTTCCCAGTGATATTAAATTACAGATACAAATTGATCTGTTTATATCTATGCTGAAAACAGAGTTTAAATGACTGTAGATCGGTTTCAACTATCCTATAAGATTAAACACTTGAGCATAAATGTCCAGCAGGGGGAGTCAGCGCTCCTCTGAGAACATGTCAGTTTCTTTTATATAGTTTTGTTACCTTTTTGAGGAATAATGGATTTAATTTCGGTCCAGTTTCCCATGCCTCTGCTTGTGACAGCAGCCACCTGACAAATAACAGATGAATAAAGGTTTGGTGAAGCTATGATCACCAGAAGTGTACATGAAACAACTTCATGCAGGTTTTGGAGTGTCTCACCCTGAATCTGTAGAGCGAGCTGGGCTGCAGGTCCTTCACTTCTGCATTCGTGATGGTGCTACGCTGGGAATACCACTCTGCACTGTCCTTTTCACTGTACTCCACCTGCAAACACACATGAGCTGGTTAGATATAAGTATGTGTTGATAAATGCTATAAAGTACTGAGGGCTTCTCACTCACAATATACTCCCTGATGAGTCCATGTGCTTTATCAGGAGGGCTCCAGGAACACAGTACCGTCCCGTCCTCAGCGTTGTCAGAGCTCAGCTGCAGATTTTGCGGGGGGTCTGGCACTGCCACACAAACACAGTCATCAGCATATCTCTTCCATGTAAATCTGAGCTGTTCCATAAATCATTTTAGTGACTGTGCTGCTAAGGCAGACTTACATCCTTCTGGCGTGCGTAGTGTGAGAACTTCATTGGTCCTGTGCTGTTTGCTGAGACACTGAGTCTGAACCTTCACCTGGTAGGTTGTGTCCGGCATCAACACGGTCAGAACGGCACTGCCCTTATTGCTGTTTGTGTCCATGGACGTCCACTGCTGGACACCCACCTGCCTGGAAAACATATACAGCTTTATTACTGACCTGAAGACATTTACTGTTGTGTGTAGATCAAGGGTTCCCTATATACAGTATTTAGTATGGTGGAATAATTATAAAACAAATTAATTGTCTACTGCCAGTTGCCTCATTATGTCCTAATTATTTTTTATATTATATATATTGTTTTTACATTTTATTTTTTATTTTATTTTTATTTTATAAAATACAATTAAAACAATAAAAACAAAAAATAAAACAATAAAATAAAAAACTAAAATTAATAATAGTTTTGTGGTCTGTGATTTTTTTATTCAACATTAACACGTTCCACCACTTAAAAAGCTTAAAATAAACAAACTAAATGATAATAATAATAAAACACAACAAAAAACAAAACAAAAAATAATAATAAAGGTTAAGCGGTCTGTGAAAGTTGTAGTGGTCCACCTGAGAAAGCTTAAAACAAACTAACAAATAAATAAATAAAATCAAAACAAAACGTAAACCAAAACAAAACATGAAACCTAAACCAAAACCAAGCAAACAAAGCAGAGAAAATCAAAGTAAAGGAAAGCAAAGCAAAGCAAAACAAAACAAAAAGCAAAGCAAACAAAAGCAAAGCAAAGCAAAGCAAAGGTCTGTGATTTTTTTTTTCTCCACAGTTCAAGTGGTCCATCACCTTAAAAGGCTTAGAAGACACAGGTGTAGATGAACACAAAGCCTGAATGAATACCTGAAGTAGATGACAAAAGAGCAGGTGGATGCAGGCATATTTTTGGGCCTTGACCAGGTAAGCGTCACAGCACCAGAAAAGTTGGCACTCCACTGAAGATTTTGAATTTTGTAGACCAGCAAATCCACTGAGAAAGGGAAAAATAGGGTGAATCAGCATGAACAGTCAGTCAGCTTACTGTGGTATAATACTGTTCTTGCTGCAGTCAGATTTAAATGGCAAATACACCACAAATGTCTCTCAGTGTCTCACTAGTGCAGTTGTCCTCGTCACTCCGGTCAGAACAGTCTATGAAGCCATCACACCTCTCGCTGTTCAGCACGCAGGCCTCGCCATCCGCACAGAGAGTACCATTCACACAGAGCAGCGGACCATGAGTGGCTGAAATAAAATGGGGAGCTTTTTAACATTTACAGGTATGTGAAGACTTTAGCCACACCAACCCATTCCCAGTTTATCCAAGTATATAGAGCATAATGTTTGTTTTATTTGACGGTTTTAGTGAAAATGGTAATAAAGAGTGGGTAACTTTTGTACTGTGTATGATTCTCTTATAGGCACTTACGACAGTTGTCCTCATCAGACCCGTCCACGCAGTGAGGATGTCCATCACAGCGCTGCCAATCAGCGATACAGACTGGAGGCTTCAGGCACAGGAACTGATCTTTAGTACAGCGGCCCGAAGGAGGAAGAGTTGCCAATGGAGTCACTGAGCCTTTGACTAAGAGAAAGACAGAAACAGCATAAAACAAAAGGATAATACATATAAAGACTCAAGGGTTAAACTTATTTAAAAAAAATTTGTTCCCCCAATTATTAAACCTTAAAAGCTTCTCATTCTGAATAAGCATTAATATAATAGTTTTTCTAATAATTATTGAGTTGATGTCTGAAAACAATTAAGAAATTCACTTAATTACACTTAACATATTTTTAAATATTTAAAACAAAATAAAATGTGTGGTGTGGAAACAATTTATAAATTCACTTAATCTTTTTTATGTATATAAAATAAAAAATGAATATTTAAAAAGGAGTATGGAAACAATTGAGAAATTAACTTATTTATTAACATTTTTGTTCTATTTTATAATGTTATTATTAAGTGACAACACTCAGTAGTATTAAGTGAATTGCATAATTTGTGTGAAAATGAACTGTGGCACTCTGGGAATGTTGTGTCACCCACGTCTGAGCTGAAAAGCATGAATTTGCATGTATGAACATGAGTGTCGAACAAGGCAAACAATTTTATTGTTTATAGCTAAAAAATTATATTATGAATGTAAAACCTATACAATAAATGGATGTATATATATATTTTAAATGTAATTTTCTTACATGATATTTCAATATACACATTTTATAAACTGCTGTTGTATATTTTTTCAGTTCAAAAGAAAATACATAAAAATATATATTTATATAGAGAGAGAGATATCTCTCTCTATATATACATAAATATATATATACACACATATACTGTATATATGACTCTTTCTCAAGCCATATGTTTGACACCCCTAGCATTGGCAATTAAAAGAGAAGAGGAAGCACCTGTGGGACAGCCCACTTCATCGCTGCCATCAGGACAATCAGCGTAGCCGTCGCACACCCAGGTGTTCACAATACACGCGCCAGAACCACAGCGGAAACGATTAGGAGCACAGGTAGCTGGACCCGGCGCAGGTGTGTGAGGAGCTCCACCATCTGAACACAGACACAACATAATTAACTGTAATTAATCCACTGAGCATTCTCTTTTGTCAGCGCTCTACAAACAAGGTTAATAGACGCTGACTGGGACACAGTGTACTGGACTGATTTGTATACCTGAGCATTGAGATTCATCAGACCAGTCACCGCAGTCATTTTCCCCATCACACTTCCACCAGGCGGGCACACAGCGGCTGTTCTTACACTCGTACTGAAAGTAACGCGAGCAGCCCGGCTCATCGGTCGGGGACGCTGAAAAAGAAAGCACACAACTCATTAGCAAACAAGCACAGAAAAAGAACTTTCTCAAAGCCGTCCCAAGTATGACTGGACTGGAGCTTATTATTGAATGCTCTGACTGGAAGTCTGTAGTCTTGCATAGCCAAAAGTTCCTGCTCACCACAGTTGGCCTCGTCAGAGTAGTCGCCACAGTCGTCCATGCCGTCACACTTCCACTCCAGGGTCACACACATTCCATTGGAACACTGGAAGCTGTAGCCGTCACATGTTTTCTCAAACTCAGGGTTAGTTGCTGTGGAGGAGGAGGAGAACTAATCAGTTCATTACAAAACACTGCATTTGTGCTTTATCCAAGGTCCACGTTTAGGACTGTCAATTAAGACTGATTAAAAATCTAATTACATGATATGCCGATTAATTAATCAAATTAAGTTGAAAGTAAGTGCATACATCAATTTTTGCAGAGAAGCTATTATGAATAAATTATGACACTATGAATTAAAGACAATACATTAAGGCAGCAGACATAGCATATGAGAAAACAGAAAAGCAATAGCTGCAAAAAGTGGTGAATACATTGATTGCTTAATTTTTAAACACTATAAAAGAAATCTAATAATACATAATCTATTCTTTAAATTACCATTCAAAAGTACAAGGGCAGTAAGATTTTTTAAAGAAATGAATACTAAATAAGAGAAACTAAATACTAAATAAGAAATTAATAAATAATAAATATTAAATTGATAAAACATGACAGTTAAAAATGTAAAAAATTTTAACGAGACTTTCTCGTCATTAAAGAATCTTGAAAAAAATGTATTATAGTTTTCACAAAAATATTTAAAAAAATATTACAACATTGATTATAATAAGAAATGTTTTTGAGTGCCAAATCAGCATATTAGAGTGATTTCTAAAGGATCATGTGGCACTGAAGACTGAAGTAATGGCCGCTGAAAATTCAGCTTGGCCATCACAGAAATAAAGTACATTTTACAATACATTAAAACAGAAAACAATTATTATAATTTGTAATAATATTTCACAATATTACTGTATTTCTGATTTATTTAAATAAATGCATCACTGGAGAGAATAAGAGACTTCTTTCTAAAAGTATTATATAACCAAACTTCTGAATAGTATATTTACGTTAGATTTAATAATTTCTTATGGAATATCTTAAATTATGGAATTAACATTCAGGTCAGGGGGCGTAACTAAATGTGTACATTATGATATTTTTATTTATTAATGTAATTAATTGCACTACATTTACATGGGCAGTCCTAGTCAGAAGCACATAATGGTCCTTTTGGCTAGTTCCTCTAGTGAACATTTTCTAACGGTCACATTTCAGTTAGCAAATGTGTTGGACTCACAGCAGCCTGCATACGTCGGGTCCTCATCAGATCCATCGGAGCAGTGCCGGGTACCGTCACACACCAGAGACTGGAACAGACACTGTGCTCGGTTTCTGCACACAAACTCCATATAGTGTGCACAGAGGGGACCTGCAAGAACAGACCCTTATTATTTCTCTAGTTACAATTACAACACAACAAACAACATTCCACTTATATATACTTGAGGGTTAGTTCACCCAAAAATCATGTCATTAATTACTCACCCTCGTGTTGTTCGAAACCCGTAAGACCTTCGTTCATCTTCGGAACACAATTTAAGATATTTTTGATGAAATATGAGGGCTCTCTGACCCTCCCATAGACAGCAAGGTAACTACCACGTTCAAGGTACAGAAAAGTACCAAGATGATCGACAAAGTAGTCCGTGTGACATCAGTGGTTCAACTCTAAAGTTACGTGACATCAGTGGTTCAACTGTAAAGTTACGAACCTAAGAGAATACTTTTTTGCGCAAAGAAAACAAAAATAACGACTTTATTCCACATTTTCGTCTCTACTGCGTCACTTTGGACGCGCGTTCACGACAATACCATGACACGAGCGTGTGGCGGCGCTGGCGCTGACCCAGATCCGGCGTGATGACATGTGATGAGACGAAAATGTGGAATAAAGTCGTTATTTTTGTTTTTGTTCTTTACAGTTGAACCACTGATGTCACACGGACTACTTTGTCGATCATCTTGGTACTTTTCTGTACCTTGAACGTGGTAGTTACCTTGCTGTCTATGGGAGGGTCAGATAACTCTCAGATTTCATCAAAAATATCTTAAATTGTATTCTGAAGATGAACGAAGGTCTTAGGGGTTTGGAACAACACGAGGGTGAGTAATTAATGACAAAATGTTCAATTTTGGGTGAACTAACCCTTTAAATGTGTTAAGAAACTGTCATGAAAGTGTGCTCTATTTAAGTACACTTTTATTTTTGTAATATTATATTATCTGCAAGTAACATATTAACAGAATAACTCAATGAGATCATGTGTAGATAATATTCATTTTATTTTTTAAAAAGCAACACATTATTTAACATGTAAAACTAATCATTTTTAAATGTAGTTTTACATTTAAATGCTCATTTTCTAACAGAAAAGTATGTCAACACGGGCAAACAAGGTGCTTACAGTGGGCCATGTGGCTCGGGGTAACACAATGTTACAATTGCCCCCGATGTTGCAGCCATGATAAAATCTTATATGCTAACTAGCCACGCCTTTATTAGCATAGGTTGTTCATGTTAACTTTTTATCAATAACCTAGAGATAAAATATAAGTTTAAATTAGCAGTTGTTGTCTCCCCTACAGTTTTAATATATATATATATATACTTATAAGATTTGAAGTACACTACAAGTGCACATTCAGTACAATTAAGCACACATCTGAGAGCTTTAAATATAAAGGTTCTCTTCAAAATAAAGGTTCTTCAATGTTCTTGGGTTCAGCAAAGAATTGTTTTTCACTGTAGGCCTATAGCAGGGATCCTCAAATCTGGCCCACGAGATCCACTTTCCTGCAGAGTTTAGCTCTAACTCTAAACAAACACACTTGAGCAAGCTAATCAATGTCTTCAGGATCATTAGAAAATCCCAGGTAGGTGAGTTTGATCAGGGTTGAAGCTAAACTCTGCAGCGCATTGGCCCTCCAGGGCAAGAATTGAGGAACCCTGATTTATTTATTTATTTATGAAAAAGAGGGACTAGTTGATATGTTGTTCTGTTTTTTCACTGTAGAGTGATTATAACACAACTTTGTCAGATTTCTGTTTCTTTTCTTTTTGTTTTTTCTAAAACAATGGCCATTACATTTCTGTTTTTAAATCATTAAATTCATCCCCATTTACTTCCACTCAAATTGCCTCACCGCAATATTTATTCATTTATTTATTTACAATTTTAAATTAAATTAAATTAAATTTATGATCATTTCTGATTTTAAATCGTTCAAAAATTTACCCCATTTACTTCCACTCAAAGTGCCTCACCGCAATATTTATTTATTTATTTATTTAATTTAATTTAATTTAATTTAATTTAATTTAATTTAATTTAATTTAATTTAATTTAATTTAATTTAATTTAATTTAATTAAACCAGGTATGACATTTCATGACATTTCTGTTTTTAAATAATTAAATTCAGCCCCATTTACTTCCACTCAAAGTGCCTCACCGCAATATTTATTTATTTATTAATTTAATTTAATTTAATTTAATTAAACCAGGTATGACATTTCATGACATTTCTGTTTTTAAATAATTAAATTCAGCCCCATTTACTTCCACTCAAAGTGCCTTACCGCAATATTTATTTATTTATTTACAATTTTTAATTTAATTTAAAGGGGTCATATGATGCGATTTCAATTTTTCCTTTCTCTTTGGAGCGTTACAAGCTCTTGGTGCATAAAGAAGATCTGTAAAGTTGCAAAGACTAAAGTCTCAAATCCAAAGAGATATTCTTTATAAAAGTTAAGACTTGTCCACGCCTACCTAAAACGCCTCGTTTAAACACGCCCCCACATGTCTACGTCACTGTGTGGGAAGATTTGCATAATGCCGCCCAAATGTTCACGCAAAGAAAGAAAGCATAACTTTTATTCTCGCTGTAGTATTGTTGCCGCCGCTGCCATGTTGTGGAGATGCTGTGTGTTTCATTGTGAAAGCGAAACTACTTTGTTTGGCCTTCCAAAAGAGGACGATATCCGCTTCGTCATGCCTAGAGCTGATCCATGCTGGTTGCTGAGGAAATACATCAACTTCGCGCTGTCAATCGCCGGATTTCACCGGCTTTCACCGTGGACGAAGCGGAGTCCAGCCCGGGGTCGTCACATGTGGTTGCCGCAAGCATCAAAATATGGTAAGGGACATAACATTTCCGTCACACGCTTGAGGAATTCGGCCAATCACAACGCACTGGATAGCTGGCCAATCAGAGCACACCTCGCTTTTCAGACCGATGAGCTTTGTAAAAATCGACGCGTTTCAAAA